CTCGCCCAAGGGGCGCCGGGCACGCGGGCTGGGCCCAGTGGCGGAGCTGGACCTACGGGGGCGCCCGGGGTGGCCTGGAGCCGCCCGTTACCTAAAACTTTCTGGGTCCCTGTGGGCGTGATAGAGAACTTCCCGTCTCTGGAGGTGTGCAAGTGGAGCCTGCGCGGGGATCGCCGCTAGACGCACGCCCCCTCCCAGCATGGGGAGCTGCTCCTCGGTGCCCCAGGCGCAGATGCTGGGGTGTGTGCTGGGGAGGTTAGCAGAGGGAGTGGTTAAAGGGCCCTCTATTCATCGCAAGGACAAAGCAGAGCTAGTGTCAGCCTTCAGGTGTGTGGCCTCAGCGAGCACATCTCCAGGTGTGCAGTGGGCTGGAGAATTAAGGAAGAGCTGGGGAGGGCAGCAGCTATGCTGGAGGAGGTGCCACTACCTGGGCACCTGCAAGTGGCAAGTCTGAGAGGCTTGGAACCAGTACGACGTGAGCTAGAGAGCTACAGTGTGTGCGTGACAGTGAGAAAATGAGAAAGAAGCGGGGCCAAGGGTGGGCAATTGAGACCCTCGGAGAACAAGGGTGGGACAGCAAGGAAAGGGAGGAGGATGTAGGATCCAGAGAGAAGAGAGTCCACGTGAGAGAGCAGCAAAACGAGGAGAGGAGGGAAGATCCTGGGGTGCGTGTGTCAGCCTGTGTGTGCCAGGAAGCCTGCATGCTCCTCTTGATTTGGCTTTAACGGACTAGTCACAGGGGTGGCCAGGCAGGGCCCGGGGTAAGAGCCTGGGCAACTGCAGGCCCTCAGGGCCCTGGGAGCCCGTACCACCCCACCTCAACTGGCAGCTGAGGCTTCCAGATAGCTCAGGCAGGGTTGGGACTATTAGGAGGTGCGACAGGCAGGAGTCGTTGGACTGGTCCATGAGGAAGGAGATCTGACCAGCTGGGTCCCTCTGTCCAGCCACCCCAGCTCTGCCCTGGCCAGCCTGCCCTGCACTGGCTATGGGAACAGGAGGGGTAGGCTGGGTGGGATAGGATGAGTTGGGGGCACCTCAGCCTTTCTTCTTCCCCAGCCCCTCCTAGCCCCCTAGGACTTGGGGTAGAGTTGGGAACTACTGTAGGTAGCAGTTGAAGCTATGGGCTCGGGAATTGGAGAAATCTGAATTTGAACGATGTGACCCTAGGCGAGCACCTTTTGTACCTCAGAACCTTACCCTCTCAGTCTTATCAGGACTAAGTGGGAGATAACAGTGCCCACTGCTGGGCGCTGAGGATTAAACAAGGTAATTTGAGGAGAGGTACTGCCAGGCACACTGGAGACATTTCGTCACCTGTAGCTACCACTTTGATGCTTGTGTACCGTCAGTTGGGGCCGGGTCTGAGCTGGGTTGTCTGTCTCTCTGCAGATATGCAGGGAGCATTTGGGGTCGCCTCAAATGTGTTTTTCCCCGGGCTGCCATTGGCAGGGCCAGGAAAGCTCTGTAAATATTTATCCATCCCAGTTTGTAGCTTTCAGGAATGATGAAAGCCCCGCAGCCCTTGGGACCAGCAGGGGAGGGGAGGAAAGGAGAAGGTTAGGCTACATGGGGGGAGAAGATGGACCTGCCTGCCAACTGGCTGTGTGACTTGGCCAGGTTGCTTGGCCTCTCAGCCTCAGAGGGACTTGATGCTGCGTAGAATGTGGTGGTGATGCTCCCCTGTCTTCCTCACAGCCTAACAAAGTGCCCCGCCGTCAGGGTCATCTCCTGCGGACAACAGAAAGTGTAACTATGATTAATTATCCCTCTTGGAATAACAACAAACTGAGGCTCAGGGAGAGATACAACTAGCCTGGCCTTATCTAGCACTTACCTATCCTGGGGTCCAGTTTTAGCGCCCCTCTACCAGGTACTTCCATTTTCTTGACTGGAAGTTGTCCCAGAGGCTGATCTTGAGCCTCTAGCTCAGCCGGGAGATTGAGTCAGCTGAGAAATTCCTCGAGGATATTTGAAGCTGTGGTTTGATGCCCGCCAGAGGAGGGTGGGGGTGACTGAGCTGGACACACACCACAGGGCAGGCCAAGGGAGGCTACTGGCCGAAGAGGAGGAGGGAATGCACCAGAAGAAACTCTTCTCAGCAATGTGGGTTTTGGAGATAGGCCGAGAACTGAGAGGGTGCAGGGAGAACTCTGGGTGGGGAGGCATAAGCCCTAGGTCTAGGTAGAACTCTTGCGTGACTTGCTGTGTGACTCTGGGCAATGTCCTTGACCTCTCTGGGAAATGCCTGTTCTCTGACCTCCCTGGGGCTGTAGAATTCCAGCAAACCCTGGGAGGACCAGTGAGCCATTTTAGAAATCAGCAGGCTGCCTTGTGTCAGGCCTTGCATATAGGGCATCTGGCCCCAGGCAAAGATGAATGGGGGTCAGTGGGGCAGAGAGCCTGTGTCTCATCCCTGTAATGGGAAAACTGAGGCCAAAAACCATTAAATGATAGGCTTCCCCAAAAAGGACCCCATTGTCTGGAGGCCTCCATTCTAGTGCCTTGTGCTCAATCTCTCTCCAAGACCAATGAATGTGACACAGACAGGGAGCAAGAGGCTTCTGGCTTGCGAGGAGTCACGAGTCACTCTTTTCTTGATTTGCAAGCTCTCTGTTTTACAATTTAAAGTGGAGACTTTGGGGGAGCTGTAGAGAATTTGGTGAGAGCAGATCCCCAGGTGTGGGAGGAGAGGGCCCATAGAGGTGAGGAGCCGGGCCAGGGAAGAGTCTCTGCCAGGTGCTGCAGCAGGCATTACGGAAGGAGAGCATTTAGTTCTTTGCTGTGGCATCATCTTCATCTGACAGATAGGGAGGTCGAAGCTAAGAGAGGACAGTGACTTGCCCAGGGTCACTTTGTCCAGAGTTGCCATTGCATAGAACTGGGTCTTCTGAATCTCAGACTGTGGCTCTTTCTACTGCATTGAGAGTGCTATGATCCAGGGGTCTGGGCATAGACTTGGTGCCTTATGGGGGGCAGGAGAGAAAGGGAAAGTATAAATGTCAATTACCCACCCTCCTTCCCAGGCTGGCTGCTCCAGACCTCTCTTGTGGGCAGAAGAGAGATTTCTACCCATGAGCATAAACAGAGCTGGCAGGCTGGGCTCTGGGTAGTTTAGAACTCCCAGGAGATGACACAGCCCTGCCCTTCCTAGGGAGGATCCTGGTACCCCTGCCAGGGTTGGGGAAAAAACCTGTTTATCCTGGAAGTCAAGGGGAACAGTGTGCAGAGCGGAAGGAGCAGGCCCTCATGGCTGGTCACACAGACCTGGGATCCACATCCTTAATGTGAAACCTTGCATATGTATTGTCCCTACCTTGTGGGAGGAGTCGGGAAGTTCAATGAGCCAGCCTGCAAAGTACCTGGGAAATAGCAGGTGCTTAATAATTTCCTGTTCTTTGGTCACCAAAGTGAGGCCAGCCTGCAGCCTTCCCTCAATGGAAGGGTGACTCCAGCCCAAGGAACAGAGGTAACAGGTAGGTTGGGCCATGAGCACAGACAGCCTGCCACCTGCCAGCTGTTACCTGGGCTAGTTGCTTAACTTCTCTGGGCTTTGTTTTTCATCTGAGACATGGGCGTGATGAAGGTAGAGTTGGTGATAGATCTCATCATAGGCTAAGAACATGTCTGTAGAGCTGTTGGCAGGGCCCTAGCCTAGATAAAGGTGAACAGCAATAGTGATAAGTATTTATTAGCAGTAAGCCTAGTATCGGCTGGAACCCACAACCCAGTGAGGCTGGGCTCTGCCGGGTAACCAATTATTCAATAAGGCAAGCTCTGAAACTCAGGGAAAACTGGTCCAGGACCCCACACCCCAAGTAGCTCCACAGCCCCCCAGGAGTTCAGAAGCTCCAGATGTTCAGAAGACCCCCTCATAGTGGGGCATTCTTGGGAGTTCGGTCTGGGTGGTTCTTGGTGGTGTCATAATCAGGAGCTTGGTGAGATTGGGACACTGATCATAGCCCTGGAGCACATGGGGCCTGGGACAGCTGCCAGAGACGGAGGCTGAGGGTGGGGCTGGGCTGCCCAGCTGCCACCCCAAATATGGCAGTGGGGAGGCCACAGCTGTCCAGACCAGACAGGCCCAGACCAGACAGGCGCTGAGTCTCTCAGCAAACAGCACTACTCCATGCCTCTCTTCCAGCTTTGTATAATGTCCACAGCTAAGGCTTTGCTTCTGACCATAAGAGTCCTCACCTAGCTCCTGCCATGACCTTGCTGGGTGACCTCACAAGGTCTCCCAAACTCTTTGAGCTTCTGCTTTTTTCATGCATGAGAATGGTGACCTCTACCCTGGGACTTGGGAGCTCCAGGTCAGAGTCACCATTGGTGGTGCTAGGGCTCCAGCAGGGCAGGGCTAGGTGAGGCTGGGAAGCAGGTAACTGTTCCCCACCACACATGCATGCATGCATGCATAGATGGAGGGGCCAGGCAGACCACATCTAGCCCTGTTGTATGCCCAGCCCTGGTGGGGTGTGAGCAAAACTGCCCCCAAAAGTCAGACTTCAGTTCTAGTTACCCTTACCAGGTGCCTGGCCCCCTGGCTAAGTGCTTTACATGTATTGCCTTGAGTCATCTTCAGGTCAACACTATGGGGAGATACCATCCCCATTTTGTCCGGTGAGCAGATTGAGGCAGGGCTGCAGCCCCTCCACACTGGGGAGGGTCATAGGTGGATGTCCTGGGCAGTAGTAGCTCACGTGACTTGGTGGGGGTGGGCAGTGGGGGGAGCAGGAGGAGCTGTCTGGCCTTTCCTCATAAGCTTTATTGGGGACCATTCCTGAGTGTATGTAGAATACAGTCTACTCTCACCTAGAGCTCACCAGCCCAAATGGCTGGAGTAGGTGACAGGCAGGCTGGGGCTGCTCCAGGAGGGAGGGACAGGCAGTAGGAGGCCTTGGAGTAAGTCATCAAGAAACCAGTCATCTTCTGCCAGTGGGCCTGAGGTATGACAGTAGGCAAACTTTCTCTGGCTCTCTGCTTGCCTAGTGACATATGGGCTGGGGCTGAGCATAGGTGTGCTGACAGCCCACACCTCTAACATTGGGACACAGGGACTTGAGGCCTGACCAGGTCTCCATATCCTCTCTCCTGCTCAGGATGCCCACCGTCATCACCTGATGAGAAGGAGGCCACAGCCCTGGCATGAAGCTCCTTCAAGCAGCCTGGCATCTACCTCTGTCACCCAGGAGGTCCCCCAGCCTGCTGGAGGCCCCAGACCTCCCCGCTGCGGCGTACCTGACCCACCTGATGGGCTGAGTGCCCGCAACCGACAAAAGCGGTTTGTGCTGTCAGGCGGGCGCTGGGAGAAGACAGACCTTACCTACAGGTAGGGCCCATAGCCATGAACAGGCTCTAGACCCCTGTGTCCATGTATATGTCTGCCACCTTCACACCTGCTTCTCGAGACACATGCCAGGGCTAGGTCTCCATGGTTAACAGATCTGTGTGTCCACCGACCCTTGAGCCATCCATGGACCAACACCCCTGAACCCCAACTTAGATGCACGCACGGGCAGCATCCCTTCCACACCCATGCCCTCCCACGACAGAGGAGCAGTGCTTCTGTAAGCACATATCTGATTGCCCTGTAGACATGCCAGGGCACAGCCTTCAGTCCCACAGGCAGCTTCTATGGGGACCTACTAAGGGCCAGGCCCTGGGACTCCATGACCTGTCCTCTTGGGGAGCGGGGCATTAACCATGTCATTGTTTAGATCTAGCATCACGATTCGGGATCCATGCAGGTGAGAAACAGTGGTGAGCAGGACAAGAAATAGCTCAGGTTACCTGAGGCCCCTGGGAGTGATGCAGAAGCTGAAACTTAAAACATCCTACAGGCGGGGGAACTCTGCTTGGGAGAGAAGGTACATGAAGACCCGTGTGGTATCACTGGCATTGGAGCTGAGACTGCTGGGGCATTCAGAAATGTCCTGAGTTGGGAACTGGGAACCAAGAGTGGTCAGGTCAAGGGGTCAAGGTCTCCCTACAGTGAGCAATACAGTCAGGTCTAGAAGGTGGGTCTTGGGGCTCCTGGTCCTGTGTTCTTCCTTCCAAATGCAGACACATGTATGTACTTAAAGACACAAATCCGCAAAAAGATGTGCCCATGTGGCAAAGGGATCAGTGCCCCACACCTGAGGTTCACCTGGCCTGCGTCGACATGCATGCATCCCACTGAACATCCAGGGGCAACTACTGGCTCAACAACCATCAGGGACTGGCCCTGCCCTGAGTGAGGCCCGGGCTGCTCCTCCTACCCCCAGGATCCTTCGGTTCCCATGGCAGCTGGTGCGGGAGCAGGTGCGGAAGACGGTGGCAGAGGCCCTACAGGTGTGGAGTGAGGTGACACCACTCACCTTTACTGAGGTGCATGAGGGCCATGCTGACATCATGATCGACTTCACCAGGTGAAACGGTGGCCTGGGACCCCTCTGGGAACAAGCCCCAGCTGTCTGCAGCCACTGACCGCCCCCACCCACCCACAGGTACTGGCATGGGGACAACTTGCCATTCGATGGACCTGGGGGCATCCTGGCCCATGCCTTCTTCCCTAAGACCCACCGAGAAGGGGATGTCCACTTCGACTATGATGAGACCTGGACTATTGGGGACAACCAGGGTATGGGCTGGGGACCAATTTTCCAGATGGGCAACTGAAGATCATAAAGAATGGGGACTTGCCAGGGTCCCTGAGCTGGGGTCTAGAACTTGGGTATTGTGCTGCAGGAGATTCAGGGATTGCTGGGCTATCTCCCTTTTCCAGGTACAGACCTCTTACAGGTGGCAGCCCACGAATTTGGCCATGTGCTCGGGCTACAGCATACCACGGCTGCTAAGGCCCTTATGTCCCCTTTCTACACCTTCCGCTACCCACTGAGCCTCAGCCCAGATGACCGAAGGGGCATCCAGCACCTATATGGCCGGCCCCAGCCAGACCCCACCTCTAGGCCTCCAGCCCTGGAACCCCAGGCTGGGGTGGACACCAATGAGATTGCACCACTGGAGGTGAGGCACAGGAGGGTGGGAAGACAGGAGTTGAGGCCCTGTCCCAGCTTTCCTCACCCCACTGGCCTCTGGCTCCAATGTGGGTTCTTTCCTGGCCCTCCTCCCTCCCCCTGCCTCAGCCGGAAGCCCCACCAGATGCCTGTGAGGTCTCCTTTGATGCAGTCTCCACCATCCGTGGCGAGCTCTTCTTCTTCAAGGCAGGCTTTGTATGGCGGCTGCGTGGGGGCCACCTGCAGCCTGGCTACCCTGCGCTGGCCTCTCGCCACTGGCAGGGACTGCCCAGTCCCATCGATGCAGCCTTCGAGGATGCCCAGGGCCACATCTGGTTCTTCCAGGGTGAGTAGGGGCTGGGAAGTCACACTTGAGATTTCCAGGAGCCGGGAATGTTATGGTCAAGGGCAGGGACAGACAGACAAATATGATGGGCAGGTGCCTTGAAGCCTTAGCCCCAAGGGAGAGCAAGGCTCACCCCTTTGAGCACAGCTGGGTGATTCCTGGAGGTGGCGGCACTCAAAGTAGGTGTAGAATAGAAGGTATTAAACAGTGGGTCACTCATTAGCCTCCAGCCCAGAGGTGATAGTGACTCACCTGAGGGCACAACTTAGAAAAGGCAGAACAGGGATTTGATTTAGGTCTAGTGACCCTAAAGCATGTGCTGTTAACTTTCAGCTGGTAGAGGGGAAAGACTGGAGCATTCCAGGTGGCAGGGACTTCATAAACAGAGGTCCAGCCAGAGCTTGCTGGGATAGGGCCCAGGGCTGAGGCCCAGTGGGTGGTGAGCGGTCAAACACCAGGGGAAGGAGTGGGACCTCAGGCACCTCTCTGCTGCTTAAAATAACCTTTCCCGTGTACCTCCCAGAGCCTATACCATCCCAGCACATCCCCGCTGGCTCCAAGCAGGACAAAGAAACGGAGGCTGGGAAAGTCCGTGGCAGTGGTGGCAGCTGGGCAGGTTCATGGTGGCTCGGCATGGCAGTTGGCTAGTTCCACTGCAGCCTCTCCTCTCCATAGGTTCTCAGTACTGGGTGTACGATGGTGAGAAGCCAGTCCTGGGACCCGCACCCCTCTCTGAATTGGGCCTGCTGGGGTCCCCAGTCCATGCAGCCTTGGTCTGGGGCCCTGAGAAGAACAAGATCTACTTCTTCCGAGGCGGAGACTACTGGCGCTTTCACCCCAGCACCCGCCGTGTGGATAGCCCTGTGCCCCGCCGGGCCACCGACTGGCGAGGGGTACCTTCTGAGATTGACGCTGCCTTCCAGGATGCTGATGGTGCGTTGCGGATGGGGCAGCTGGTAGAAGTGGTGCAGCAGCCACATCTCCCACCCTGTGGTGGCTGGATGTAGGCTCTTCATCGCAAGTCCTTTGTCCAGCACCCTCCCCATCTGGCCTACTCCTTGTGCTAGGGCAGTGCTATACCCCCCATGTTGTAGATGAGGAGACTGAGGGCTAGAGAGGTGCAAAGACTTGTGCAGGTTCCTGTTATGGCTGATAAAATAGAAACCACTGCTCACTGAGGACTGATGATGCTCCAGGCATCTAAGCTCCCTACATGTATTATACAATGCTCAGATGTAGCACCTGTTATGAACCCAGTTTCCAGAAGAGCAAATAGAGGTTTAGGTGTTCCCTAACTGGGACCACCCAAGTGGACAGTGGACAGCCAAGACCTCCCTGACTGAGGCAGTCCCTGCTGAGCCACCCAGATTCCTGCATCTCCAAAGACTAGATTGGGGATTCACAGTCCAACGCTCACCCCCATGACCCCTGCCACTTTGCTTTTGTGCTTTCCCAAGTGGGGACCTGCTAGGAAATCTGTCTTGTGGTGACCGTGGGTTCTGGGGCTCCAGGTTGCTTGTGTCACCCACCATAACTCAAGATGCCCATCTGTTATCTGGCTGGTGGGTGCAGTAGGGTGAGCTGGAGGGAGGGGTGGCGAGGGAAGCGGGACTTGCTTTCCTGAGGTAGGAGGTGGGTCTCTGAGTCTCCCGGCGTCTGTAAGGCTGGGTGGGTAGCCCAGACCAGACTCTGGGCAGGCAGGACTCCTCCAAAGGAAAAGAAGTTCTGGAAGGGCCACCCTGAGGCCTGCAGGTTTTAAGGAACTCAGCAGTGGCCAAGGCCTTCCTACCCAGAACTCCCCCTGTGCTCATCCATGGGCACAGCCTGACAAGCAGGTGTGAGGCCTAGTGTCCACTCACTTAGGCCTCACTCTTCTCTTCTCAGGTTATGCCTACTTCCTGCGTGGCCGCCTCTATTGGAAGTTTGACCCTGTGAAGGTGAAGGCCCTGGAGGGCTTTCCTCGCCTCCTGGGCCCCGACTTCTTCGGCTGTACAGAGCCCGCCAATACTTTCCGCTAACTACTGCTTGAATGCCCTCAGGGCCCCTGACCCCTGCCAGGCCACTGACATTGCCTAGAGACCCGTGGCCATCTTTGTGACTGTGGGTACCAGGCACAGAACAGAACCTGTGTCTCCTCAGGGGGATGGGGAGGGGGTGCTGCCACCATGACAAGTGCAGGGAAGGCCATGCAGGTCATGGTCACCTGTCAGCAACTGTTTCAGACTGGGCTGGGAGGTTTGGCATTAAGGGTGAGGTGGTCTTGGGCTGGCTCTGCCCCACCTGTGCAGGTCACAGTCATACCTGCTGCCCTTGCTCTCCATCCCTGTCCCTCAGGAAAGGACCTCAGCAGGGCTGGGGGAGTTGGAGTCCTTGTTGTCCCTGTTGCAGGGTTCCTGCAGGGTGCTGGCACATGGATCTTGGGCCCCCATGGCCTTCTGCCTTTTCCCAAGAAGTCAGTTCTGGGTAGTTGCTTGGAACTGGCTGCCTTCCAGTTGGTGATCCTGGAGATGTTCCCCAAGATCCAGGCCAGAAGGTTAAGAGTCAGCTGGGGAGAGGGGTGCTTCCTGCTGGAGACCCAAGGCCCTGGAGGCCTCAACATACCTCAATCCTGTCATGTGCTAGATCTTCCCCGGCCCTCATCCGAGCACTGAGACCTTTCAAAGCCATGTAAATGTGTGTATAGTGTGTACAAAGCTTTTTTTTTTTTTTTTTTTACTGAGGACTATCATTAAACACAGTCATTTTCTACCTGCCTGCCTGGGGTTTCTCTGACTACGTGGATAGAATGGGGAAAGAGCTGGGCTAGGGAAGTGGGAGGCCTGGCTTGGGACCTGCTCTGTTGTGGAAGCCAGAGTAGCAGCCTACCCCACCACTAAGCCTCTGGTTCTTGGGGCTGGGAAAATGTTTAGGGCCCCTCCTGCTCCATTCCTCCATCTTATGTCACTGGACTCCCTTAGTGGCTTCATAAATGGCTCTCTGCTTCCCCTACTTGCCCCTCAGACCCTCAGATCATCTTCCACTAAGTGGTGGTCACTTTATCTGTTCTTGCCATGCCCCAGCCTCTGTCCCACCATTGTCAGGACACAGAACAAAACTCGTATTTACCACAGCCGACCCTTCCTAACTCTCAGGTGTCTCCTTGCCTGCCATCCAACCCTGTGTGTATCTCTTCCATAGTAACACCTACTATAGCTGCAATTTTTATCAGACTTAACCATATGAAATTGTCAGCAGTGGGCCATTTTTGACCTACTGCATTGTTCAAGGGGATACACAGATGCTTTGACGCTTTCGTTAATCTCAGTCCTCACCCCCAGCTATAAGCGTCACAGGACAGGGCTGTCAAGTTTCACCACAGGGCTCAGCTTGTTGCCAGCACAAAGCACAGGGTTAAGGAATGGAAAAGGTTCCCACCCTTCCAACACTCATCTGATGCACTAGCCAAACCAAATACCACCTGGGCTTTAGAATCCTGCCAAGTTGGGGAGCCTTTGCCCACGCTACCACCACCCAGTGTAGTCATTCTGCCCATTCCAACAGCCACAGGAACAGATGTGGGCCCAGAACTGAGATATCTGTTCCTAGGAGCCCTCTTATCCGCTCAGCTGAACTGCATTTTCCGCGTGGAGAAACTGAGGCATGGTACTTCCGGCCTCCTCCTCGCGTTCAGGTCTCAGTTCGTTCCTCTTCCACTGGACTGAGTTTCAGTCCCAGCTTTAAGACTGGGAAAGCCACCACCTGAGTCAGGGCCTCGGTTGCTATTTCCACCTGCGAGAAGTTTTCCTCGGTACCTGGATTTGGGAGACAGACTGGGAGGAAAAGAAACGGGTCTAGGCTCCTTTAAGGGACTCGCGGGAGCGCGCCTCGGCTTTTTGTTTGGGCGGCGGCAGCGCGCGCGTCAGCGTCAACGCCCGCGCGTGCGCACTGAGGGCGGCCTGGTCGTCGTCTGCTGCAGCGGCTGAGGAACCCGGCGGCCGCGCGAGCACTTGGCCCAGCCCGCTCTTCGCCTCCCGACTTCGGCTCCCCTCGATTCGGCGCGTCCTGGCGCCGCTTTAGCCCTCCTGATCCCACGCAGCCCGGCCTTGGCCACCCGCCTCCACTGCCACAATGATGATGATGGCCCTGAGCAAGACCTTCGGGCAAAAGCCCGTCAAGTTCCAGCTGGAGGACGACGGCGAGTTCTACATGATCGGCTCAGAGGTAGCCCGCGGCGCGTCCTCGCTCTCCCAGGCCCGGCCCCGCGGGAGCCTCGAGGCGGGTCTGCGCGCCGGGAACGCGCGTTTCCATTCATCGTAGCGGGCGGGTGCGCGCGCACACGCGGCGCGGCCCAGTGGGGCGCGGCCCAGCGAGGCGTGGCCGGGTAGACCCCGCCCCGCGCTCCTCTGTGATTCTGAATGTACTTACCCATATCATCGCGGTCGGGAATGCATCCTGCTGCCAGGGCTAGGGCTGAACGAGGGGCCACTGGTTTCACGCTGAGTTGGTACAGTTCCAGGAAGACACAAAAGAACGGGGTGTTTTGATAGCCCCTGCGACTCTTGAGGGGGAAGATGTTGGCGATCTCATATGCACCCCCTCCCCCATTGCTACATTTGGGATCCTTGAAATCGCAGGTTGTAAACACCGGTTTAAGGAGGGCTCATTCACATTGTGTTCGTTGCCTTCGAAGTGGGCTGGGAGGTGTTTTGACAGTGTTTTGAGCTTCATTTACCAGGGAAGAAACAGGTTGGGAGGAGGAGGATTGCTGTTGGGTGGATAGGATCTTCCTAGTTCATTTGAGGGATAAGGCCCCAGTCCCTGAGCTTGGTCTGTCAACAATTCAAAAGCAGTTGGCACTTTGGATATCTTGGACTAACTGAATTATTACAGCGGAAACATCCTAAAGACCTTTAATCCTGAATCAACTGGTCCTTTAATCCTACAGCTGGTCCTTCAATGGTAGTTTGTACTAAGTGTGTGAATTTTTTTCAGATTGCCTCAGACTAGCCCTTCTTGGTCTGAAGGCAGCCCTCAGTGTATATTCATTTTTTTAATGGATATACAATTCATATGTGCATATAACAAGCAGTAGAGTCTTCTCATGTAATGAAATAAGTGCTAACCTTGCTAAGCTGAAGCAGTTACAAAATGCCAAGGGTTGCCTTTCCTTGGAGGAGTTTTCAGTATCAGGGGAAGCTGCCAACATTTCATTCTTGTTTTTACAATTTTTGTTGTTTTTCTTCGCAATTGAAATAGTGTGAATGAATTAAGCCTCATGATGGTCACTCCGAGGCTATCTGTGATTCCAGGTTTGTCTTAGTTGTATTGAATAATGAGACCCATGTTCTCAGCATCAGAATTTTAGTGTCACCGTTTTTCATCATTTTGTTTTTTAAACAAAAGGCAGGATGCAATAAAAATTTCCATATCACATAAATGCTACTCTTCAAAGATAGCCGTGCTGGGGAGATGGATCCAGTGCCTGTCCATCTGCCAAGGTTTAGAATAGTCCTCATAGGCTTAAATGCAGGATACAAAAGGCAGTTGAGGAGTTGCAGTATGTGATAATGGCAGGTTGTTTAAAGAAACCTTTACCTTATCTAATTGGCAAGAAAAGCAATCAGTTTGGTCTTGACTCTGAGTGGGTGGTACTTTTGGAGTGCAACTTTTATTTATTAGGTGGAGCAAACTGAGAAGAAGCATGTGGCCAGGTGGGAAGAAAGTCAGGAGGCCTGGTTCCAGCTTTGTTCTGCCTCCGTATCACTTTTCTCATAATGAGATGCTTAGTCTAGATGGCCTCCAAGTTCTTTTCTGTAACACATTTTAGTTTCTAGAAAGTTAACGGCGCTCTTCTCTTTCAGCCTTGTTGAATGAGAACGTTGTCCTGAGACCCGGTCAGTATAGACCCACATGGGAGAAGGGAGAGGAAGTTTGCTTTCTGAGCCTGGCTTAACAATCGTTAGACCTTTCGGGGTCTGGGAAAGGTTCAAGATCAGAATGCTGTTTGTCGATCTTCAGTAGCCCGTGTGACTGCATTAGGTGGATGGCCTCCAATTCCCTTCCCCTTGGGAGACAGGTACCATATTCAGGGAGGTGGGCCGGCCATAGGATCACACTCAGTGCCTCCATGCCATATCCATGGAGTGGTTTTGGGAAGGCATCTGCAGTTGCAGTGAGTATGTGTCACTATTCTCCTGCCATCTGCAGGCAGCTGTATTCAAGCTAGGGTCACAGACCTGAGAGGACCCTAGGATATCCCCAAGTCAACACCTTCATTTCACAGGCAAAAGCTGGTTCAGGGAAACCCAGGAAGGCAAGCCCTGGTCTCCTATGTTCTGAAGGGGCCTTAGGAAGGGTCGAGAAGTCCTGGAGCTCTGCAGGACCTGTAAGGTAGTGGAGGATGTTATTGTCAACGTCTTTTCAAAAACCTAATGGAAACTATACATTTACCCTTGAATGATAATGGCACTCAAGCCAAATAATGCACAGTAGGTCTGTGCCTGCTGTATAGAGCATGAGTGATTCACTGTGGTCACCTTCCATCACACTGTTCAGCAGATCTGGTTGTCAATCATCAAAATCTTTAATTCATGAAAAATAGAGAAATGTTTTTATTTAATAGATATACTATGCTGGGTAGATAAATAGGAAAATAATAGAAGTGGTTCTTTGTGGAGTGAACTCCAGAGTTGCTGAGCATTTGACAGATGAGTAAAGAGACCCAGAAAGGGGAAGTAATTACCGGTCACAGGTGGAGCCGGCATCTGGCACCCAGTTCACTGGCCATCCTCTGCCATGTAATTCACATGATCATTTTGGAAAAGTCAATGAAACAATGGAATTTCTTTTTAAAAACTTTGGGACTAGATTTTTTCCTTTTCATTAAGGAAGCCATGCTTGAGTATTTAGTACAAAGCAAACTAAAGCTATTATTTGGGGAAGTAATGATTTATATAGCAGTCTGGTGATTGCCGATAAGTCCTTTTTAAATTTTTCGGAAAATTCCTTTGGTATGCCTGGTTTGAATTTTATTACTAAACAAAGCAACAAGGCCACGGGGGAAATTATCCTGCATCTGTCTAAAATTAAAAGACCTTTTTGGTGTTTATTACATCTTAAAAATATCAAAGTGTAGTCCTTAAGATGAAAGTCAAAGCAGCCTTACGTTTTTGGAAAGTGCTAGAGATCTTAGTCCGAAATCAAAATTACTGTAGGCTTGTTGGGGAGCTCTGGAGGCCTGCCTCACAAAGCTTGGTCCTGTCATCAGGTTGCAGATGTTGTTGCCTCTGCCCAGAGGGGCAGATGCAGGCCAGATGTGCACTGCTGTTGAACCCTTGATGTCAGCAGAATGTGTTTTTATCGCTGGCGAAAGTCTGGTGCCTGATAGCCAACTCATCTGATTGTCCATCGCCTGATCCAGTGGAGCCTCTGCGCCAGGACCCTTCCCTCTGCGTGGAGATGCGACCCTCATAATGAGCCTTCTTGCTTTACTCATAGGTGGGAAACTACCTCCGTATGTTCCGAGGTTCTCTGTACAAGAGATACCCCTCACTCTGGAGGCGACTAGCCACTGTGGAAGAGAGGAAGAAAATAGTTGCATCGTCACATGGTAAAAAAACAAAACCTAACACTAAGGGTGCGTCTTCACGAGGGTTTGTAAACCTGTTTCAAAACCACTCGCTTATGTCATGAAGATAAAACGTTTTCACTCCAGTGTCTTCACTGCAGCCTTGACCTTAGTGTGGCAGGGAGCATCCTAGGGATGGGGCACACATGCAGCTCAGGCATAAAAGTGGCTCCAGATAGCCACTGGTGGTCCTTTGTCAGGCATTTTCAACAGGGCCAGGGGGTGCCTGGGGAGGGCAGGGCTGGGATAGTGGGTGCTGTGAAGACATGTTGGTCTCAAAACGTTTTAGGAATGCTGTGATGCTCTGCCATCTGCCGTGGGCATATTGCGATAGTCACCCTTCATCAGCCCAAGTGGCGGGTGGTGGCCCCAGCTCCCACTCCCCTCTGGGGCTTTCACCGCTTCGCTTCCCAGAGCACATCCATCCCATAGCACTTCATTCTGGCAGCCAGTGTGCTAGAGCCCATGTGCATGTCCCTGCTTGTTGTGTCTGAGGTGTGCCTGGGGCTTGATAGGTGAGCCACCTGACACTAGTGACAGTAGAGACAGTAGCGTGCTTCAGCCGTGGCAGCTCTGTGCAGGGCAAAAGGTTACTCTCAGACACTCTGGGGGCTTCATCAGGAAAATCTCATGGTCCATTTGGGTTTGGACACAGCACAATGTTTGGCAGGTAGCGAAACTGCTTCCCTCTTGGCAGTGGCGCCTTGTAGAGAGCTGCCCGGGGCCTGGGTGAAGACCCGCCCTGAAGCCCTGTGTATGTGTGCCTGTCTGTGCGTGCGAGTGTACGCTTTGCAGCCTGTCCTGTTTGGTTGTGTTTATAGGTGCTACTGTGGTCTTGTCTACTGTGGGCAAAGTAGTGGTTCTTTTAATGCAGGAGCCGGAGCTTCTTTTTATCTGCTGCTATAACATTTCCACTCACTCGTTTTTAAAAATCTCCTTTTTGTCCTCCCTCTGCTCCCCAGTAGGCACCAGTCATTAACGCAGTGCATTCCCAGCTTTGCTTTCCCCTCTGCAAGCCTCAGGTGAAGTCTCGGTGACTCTTCTGCCTTGTGCTTTGGAGGCACTTCCCCCGTAACTGATTTGTTTCTCCAGGAGAAGCCAGGCTGGACCTGCAGACAAGTAGCAGC